ATGATCCAATTTAGCACAAACACTATAACAGAGTCTATCAAAAGTCAAGAAAGTACAAAAGCGAGTTTATAATTATAGCATTATAAAGTCATTTTAAATAATAATGACAAAATAAATAAAAGACAACATATCGCACAGTCAATGGCGAAACACAAGTCCCTACAGACTAATAAAGATTAAAAACTAGATGATGGAAAAACATGTGAACAGCGTAGTAGTAATAGTATATAGCCGTGCTCGTTCAGAGCTACAATAAGTTGAGGTAGCTGCCCGGTGGCCCTCTGCAATGTGATAACTAAATCATTTAAACTGAAACCGCCCTGGATCTCTCTCACAGTTTCCTGAGGAGCAGACGATATGGTTCAGAGCCCGCAAATGTCCACGGTTCGTCGGCTGAGGTCGCAATGCAGAGGCAACATATAGGTGCGGTGATATGTTGCTAATAGTGCGATTCTGCACCTGCCTACATATTTTTATGTGCGGCAAATTTAGAAAACAAAAGAACAAAAAAGAACACTTTAATTAAGGTGAACAATTCCCCATATAACGTACCTAACGTTAGTAGTAGTAGTATGTGTAGATCTAGAATTACCCTTATAGTTATACCCTTTTATAAAATTATAAAGGTTCAAATTAGATGAGGCTGTAGGACGTGTAGGTGAGCTGATGCCTGAAGATAGGCATATTTGAGGCAGATCTGCAGGTAACATTACAGCATTAAATTCGACTAAATTGTGCGTATAAGCGGCTAACGTAACTAAAATAAAGTGACTCAATTTTAATATGTTGAGGGATTTTGTCATTGCGATCCAGCTTGATGAAGTACACGTACTCTATAAGCAAGCACTCTATAGTCCGAGACGAAAGGGAAGCTCGTTAGCTTTTCGTGTTAAAAGCGATTTCTCGACGGTTATCACCTCTTTAGATGATGCGTAAACCATTTGGCATGTATGGCATTTTTGTACTCAATGCCATACGGGCGTTTTTGGCCACAACCTTTTCTAGAGTTTTGCAGTCACTCGAATTTTTGTATTTCGGCTCAGGAAGGTCGTAGAGACTTTTCCGATACATTAAAATGTGCCTAATAGTCATATTTATCTACAAGTTATGAAGCAAAATTTACCTTAGAATGCTTATTTTCGGAAATATGGCCGAAAAACGGTTTTTGGCTTGACGCAGCTCATAATTTGTGCCTGGGAAGGTCGCGAGACTATTCTGATATCAAATAACGGAGTAGTTCGCTGTTTATTAGTCTCATGATTGAAATACTGATATCTGGATATTATCCGGTTGGAAGAGACAAGGACAAGTGAAACAAGGAAGTTAGGAGTAAGGGCAAATTTTCGGCGTCAACGCCATCTTCAGGCTCAAATTATTTGTTATATAGTAGTGTTGAAAGTATTAAAACTGTTTTAATACTTTCAACACTACTATATAACAAATAATTTGAGCCTGAAGATGGCGTTGACGCCGAAAATTTGCCCTTACTCCTAACTTCCTTGTTTCACTTGTCCTTGTCTCTTCCAACCGGATAATATCCAGATATCACTATTCTGATACATCAAAATGTGTCCAATAGCTATGGAATGTGGCTGAAAAATGGATTTTTGCCAAGCGAACGATGGAAATACTCACAAATGGGTTATTGGACTGGTAACTAGGAAGGTCCTAAAGACTCATGAGCAATATTAAATTTGTCCCAAGATGACTTACTAGCTGTCCAGAAACACCTCTAAAGTTGGAGAATGTTCTAGTTCTATTTAGTTCTACTTAATTGTGCATCTCTCAAAATAGGCCAGGCCAACTAAACCGCATATTTGCGTAACCGCATTTGAAGTGCGTAAGGTTCAGGGTATTGAACTGGTTTTTGATCAGAGTAAAATAGTACAATCCTAAAATATTTTCTCTTTATTTCAATGTTTTTATGAGGTAATTTAGTGCTAAAAAGTCGAACTTTGGCGAACTACAGTACGTGTAACATCGTATATGTTGCAATATTGACGATCAGGAATAACAGAAACAATAGAAATCAATATTATTCTGCAATTTAACTGCTCTACAAGTACAAAAGGTGATGGAATTTCATGTGGTGGATGGAGATGTAAGATGGACAAAATGTGCACCCTAGACTCCTTATGAATATGACTAATGACTGAGTCATATGACTCAGTCACTTGAAGTGCGTAAGGTTCAGGGTATTGAACTGGTTTTTGATAAGAGTAAAATAGTACAATCCTAAAATATTTTCTCTTTATTTCAATGTTTTTACGAGGTAATTTAGTGCTAAAAAGTCGAACTTTGGCGAACTACAGTACGTGTAACATCGTATATGTTGCAATATTGACGATCAGGAATAACAGAAACAATAGAATTCAATATTATTCTGCAATTTAACTGCTCTACAAGTACAAAAGGTGATGGAATTTCATGTGGTGGATGGAGATGTAAGATGGACAAAATGTGCACCCTAGACTCCTTATGAATATGACTAATGACTGAATCATATGACTAAGTTTTACATGCCTAGCTCCATGATACGTAAAGTCTGCATAATGATGTTCTGTGGTATCAGTATCACGGCAGGCCATTCTATGCGACAATTAACTGTCAGCAAAAGACTCTTTAACCTTAAGAAACCGAAGTTTGAAAAATTGACCTTTCGTAAGACGCAAATATGATGTTTAGTTGGCCTGGCCTATTTTGATAGATGCACAATTAATTAGCAGAACTAAATAGAACTAGAACATTCTCCAACTTTTGAGGTGTTTCTGGACAGCTAGTAAGTCATCTTGGGACAAATTTAATATTGCTCATGAGTCTTTAGGACCTTCCTAGTTACCAGTCCAATGACCCATTTGTGAGTATTTCCATCGTTCGCTTGGCAAAAATCCATTTTTCAGCCATATTTCCGAAAATAAGCATTCTAAGGTATATATTGTTTTATAAGTTGTAGATAAATATGATTATTAGGCACATTTTGATGTATCGGAAAAGTTTCTACAACCTTCCTAGGCCGAAATACAAAAATTCGAGTGACCGCAAAACTTTAGGAAAGGGTGGGACCGAAAACGCCCGTATGGTATTGAGTACAAAAATGCCATACAGTCCAAATGTTTTAAGCATCATCTAAAGAGGTGATAACCGTCGAGAAATCGCTTTTAACACGAAAAGCTAACGAGATAACCTTTTGAAACGGTTGGGCTCCGACCAAGTTCAACACGTAGTTTAAGAACGTTTTTAGAACGAATAGCGGTCGATGGTGCGAAAAGTGCGGTATTAGGTCGATAGTGCGATTCAACTCGCACCCAAACCGCACTTATGTGTTGCCTCTGGGACGCGAGAATATTATCGTTGCGGTACCACTTTTGTCACAGAGGTTTTCAGATGCTGCGAAACGGCGGGAAAGAAAACAGCAGAAGTCCCAGCATGATTACAATAGAAATAAATATACCGATACGAAATACACGATACTATGAATTATGATAATGAAAGTGAGACACTGCAGTTCATCCTAATCCGAGAGATACAACATGACAAATGAAGAGTACACGGCACACACACACACAGACACATGGGTGCAGTAGATATTGGGGTAGAAGTGAAACCTACATACTGGCCACCTCACTGAACACAGTGGACACTTAACTTCATGCCATCCTCCGCTCTCTACACCCAATTATGTGGTATTATCTGCTCCTACGATTCAACTGTTAACTGCCTTGTCAGCGAGCCAGCTTAATATAGATCTTCAGTTATGGGCGGGGGCTAAATGGGCCGGTTATCTTCGTCCAAATCCTGAAAAGACAGAAGAAGACCTTCACAATTGACAAGATCCAAATATCTGATATTCGGGCCATTATAGTATCATCTTACTCTTACTCTCTTACTCTACTGAAATAGTGCCTCATCTGGTTCATCAGAATATGGTGAATATCGTTAAAGATCGTCGAGGAACTTTTATTGCGAAGAAAGGAATCGGAGAACACGAACGTATTTTTACCATTCTCACAGAACACCCAATAAATTATATGACTAACAGATCGGTTATTTGATCAGTTACTAAAGAATAAATATTTTGTACTATAGGAAAAAGTAAGTCAAAGTAAATGGTAATCTGAACTCTCAAATTTTTAAATTTCTGAACAGGTGCATGATGAGCTCAATGTGGTGCGGTATTTCACAACTTAACAGGTGTAGTGAAATTGTCCCACATTGTGCCTATAATCCAGTATTATAATGGTGTCAGAAATAAAATGATTTCATAACTTAGTGAAAACGCGGTCCGTTTCCTAAAAATTAAAATCAGCTCAAATTAAAAGAGGAAATATCGTGCTGCTTTGGCTGAATAATGTTCACTTGGTAAACCAGTAGACACATAAAGTTCCATTCATTATTATTACTCCTAAATCAAAATAAAGAAATACTGATGACTGATCGTGCACCAGAGAACAGAAAATTCACGTATTGTAGAGGTTACAAAAACACAGTGAGTATGTAATTCGTTAAGTATAACGTAAGTAAATCATTACCTCCACTACTACACGGACACCATCCTCCAGACTAGTGATTAGAGAAACTTCTTACTCCGTATAATCAATATAAACGTAATGTAATAGTGTATAGTACTGCCAGTCCCCAGATTACACCAACCCAACTTGTACCTTGAGTAAATACAAATCCAGATACAGGAAAAAAGATAAACCTTCGACCTTTCGCTCACCCGCAGAACCGAAATCAAGGATAAGGGAATTAATTGACAACTCATAAAGACCCCCTAGAGACCAGATAAACGGAATTGGAGGCTGATTAATCGGATTTGGCACGTGCGTGCGCGCGTTGTAACGAGCTGAGTAGCTGGTCTCGAGCTGATTGAGGGAATTAGGGGGGAACCCCTGCAAGTACTACAGGTAACACATATCAGGAGACATACTCAACGGGGAGTTTCTAGTTAACATTGTTGTGGTAAGTGTCGTGTTATCGACTAACGAATTCCAACTCACCGTTCTCAGTCATCCGTAAAGAAAGAGGAGTCTTCTTCTTGACCTGCAGCGGACTTTTGTCACATGTTTCTGATGGGTCCTCTAATCGCTTTTCACTGCATCGACTGCATCGACTGAAAAATTGACAAGTCAAAGGACACAGAAGTATATTACTCTATGATGAAAGATCCAGGAATCTGGTAAAATCGCTCCTGGCAGGGCGACCTTGAATTGGCAGCGACTGGCGAATTTCACCCACAATAACTGTATTATGATAACTAAGAAGTGAGTAAGTGCACAGAGAATTAGCATAGAGAATTTATGTTCATATTATTATCTTCACAATGCACTGCCACATCCGAAATAAAGACCTGAGCCAAAAAGATATTTGCTATTTAAACCAATTGCAATCAGCATCAAAAGAACCACTGTATTTTCAATTCGATGTACTGAGAGACGACTGACGAGAGTAATGTTTTCAAATCTCGGAACTATCAGGGTATGTTTTTATTTCGTGTCACAAATACTAGAGCATGGAGTAGCTAATGGTTGCTACCAGATTTGCAGTATTATACGGTACGTTGTATAATGACGGGTGATTAGCAGAGCAATCAGTTCGGTGAGTCAATTCACAGTAAAGTTATAATGAACATCTACGCTACGTGAACAAATCCATCTGAAAATCCTGCTTTATGATTTATTTAAAGTTGTTAATTGGTGGATAACTTCACTATCAGGACTTTACCTTTTAGAAAAATTGGAACGGTTCCAAATTTGTGTCATCCGATTTTCGTAAGAATTGAAATCCCCTTCATTGTCAGCGGTACCTAAACGGAACTGCATGTTCTTTCTGCCTCAGCTACTGTCAAACTTAAAACTGAGTATCTCTACATGCGAATTGCGATTGCGTGGGCTTCTTGTCTAACCTTTTCTATATTTTCCATTACTTTCTGAAGTTTTTTTTCTTTGCAACCCTCTTTTTGTGTTGTACAATGCGGAGATCCACATTACTTCTCGGTGCAGTAGTTTTCCTTATGACAGGTTTTTAATTAGTTTATTGGTTTTTAATTTGTTAATTATTTTTTACCAAAACCCAAAATTGGGTAGACTGGACGGTTGCCAGTGTTTTCTTCTTACAAACAAAGTTAAATGACATTGATTTAAATCTCAAACGCAAAACGATAGCGAGAATGAAATCGATCGATCGCTTTTCCAATTATTTCGAAATTAATGATATTGATTGATTGTATGCCATGTTTCTCAAAGTCAACCCAAAAAGATTTCGACAGTGTGTGATATACACGTAATATACCTCAACTCTTTACAATTTGCAGGCCGTGAATTAATTAATGATCTAGGTTTTATCTAGATAAAACCGATATTTTTTTTCTGCTGAGGGCAAAAGCCGATAAGTTTTCCAAATTTCACTAGAACTAATTACAACTTTTTGATCAAAGATGACGATATTTAAGATATAAAAGACGTTAAATTGTCGACTTTTACGATAAATTGCGGCAATATCCTGGCCAAAACTTCAGAGTTCAGGCAGATTAATGTGTGAAATTAATCGCTTATCTCAAAAAAACGATAAAATAATTGAATTTCAGGACAGTCTCGCTCTGATTCGGAGTGTGGCTTAGCAAGAGATGATATAAAACAAGATTTGGAGAAACATATTATAGCTTGCAATTACCGGGACAACCACGCTTTTTTGAGGAGTCTTCCATTTGGAGTGAACAACTTGAGTGTTTCCCTTAAACGAGACAGCGCAGAATGTTTTTATCTCGGTAAGCCAACTAGTTTCTAGAAACTTAACAAGTTATAATGTTATAGACCATACTCATATACTTTACAAAGGACAGAGGTTATGGCTATGATATGCGCGTAAAGCATTTCAATATTTCACCTCAGCATGCTGCAACAAAATCCTAAAACGGCTATTTCCTAAAATCTTCCTCCCGGGGCCGGACGTGAACGCATGCACTAGAATCAATTGTGAAGGAGTCACTAAAATTGGTGCTGAGATAGATGGAAAATGGAGGTGTAAGGCCGACGGTCAAGTAATATCGAACGACACAGGTAAATCGAAGAGCAAATATAAAAATCGGTACATTGTTTATTTCGAAGACCCGATTAAAACAATAATGTAAAGTTTAATAAAGTTTTAGTTACGTTATCAATGATCAATATTCAATATATGTATTCTTATATATTTGAGTACGTACCTATTGACTTACGATGGGAAATATTATCTTAACATCAGAGTAATTGAAAACTTGTCCCCAGCGCGATGTGACACATTTGAAACAGATGGATCAGGGTGGAACTTAGTTCGGGCGGATAACAACAACTCACTATGTCTAAAGTGTGAGAGTGGAAGCTATCTTGCAGATGCTGTATGTAAACTTTGCCAAAAAGGAAACTACTCTGATGTAGAGGGAGCGACTGAATGCAAAACTTGTCTTCAAGGAAACTACTCTGATGTAGAGGGAGCGACTGAATGCAAGACTTGTCTTCAAGGAAACTACTCTGATGTAGAGGGAGCGACTGAATGCAAGACTTGTCTTCAAGGAAACTACTCTGATGTAGAGGGAGCGACTGAATGCAAGACTTGTCTTCAAGGAAACTACTCTGATGTAGAGGGAGCGACTGAATGCAAGACTTGTCTTCAAGGAAACTACTCTGATGTAGAGGGAGCGACTGAATGCAAGACTTGTCTTCAAGGAAACTACTCTGATGTAGAGGGAGCGACTGAATGCAAGACTTGTCCTAAAGGAAACTACTCTGATGTAGAGGGAGCGACTGAATGTAAACCCTGCCCAAGAGGAAGATACACAGAAGGAAAAGGAGCAAGTGAGTGTCTCTACTGTCCAGCAGGTCACACTACATACACCCACACTCCCAACACGTGTGTTGGTCCTCAACTTGAAGGGTTGGACAGGAAGAAGAGAAACGCTGTCTTCAGTGTTCGAGTAAGCTACGACACACTAGGTCAGTTTTAATTCTTTTGAAACTTTAAGGTTGATTGCAACATAATATAGTATCATGGCTACATCCTTTAAACTAACGACTGTCCTATACTGGCAACCTGTAAAGTGTAAAACTTTGCTGAATTAAATGAATAATAAGTTTACTTTTTGGATCTGAAAACCGAAAACGATTTATGAACAAGAATTAATGTATTCGATAAATGATATGATAAGGTTTTGACTTTGAGGTTGTACACGTACAATAGACTTCTTACAGCGGTGCAGTCCAACGTTAATTGAAAATCATTACCACTCGATATGTTTCACAGGGAATCAAGAGAGAAAAGCAGTCTACTGGAAAAGTGTTGGAGACTGGAACCTGCTCAACAGATACAAGAGAAAATTCGCAAAAATCACCCAGAAGTACACAACATCGTACCGTAGAGGGCCCAGAGTCATCAGGAAGTCACCTGTGACGACTGCAGTCAGACAAATAAGTTAGTTGAGATGACACTTTTTCAATATTTCCGTTAGCCATCGCACCAATTACCGCTGCATAAGTAAGGATCGAAATTAAATTGGAGTGGAGAGCATGCTTCATCGACATTTAAAGTATCTGAGATTATCTTCAGTAAAGGACGTGTATTGTTACAGTGGAAGTGGAGAAAAGTATGCAGGATACGAAAACAAATCTAAGTTTGGTGGCGTGTGCAGAGGTTGGTAATTTACAAGCCCTGCACCTTCTTTGAACTTCGATCACGTGATGTGTTTATTCACGAACTATTCACTATTCAATATCAGCAGATCACAACTTATTTACAGGACCATCTGAACATTGCACAACTATGAACAGAGAGAGGGTATGTTACTGCAGGAACAAAGCGACTGGAAGTCACAGCAAGCCTTATTGTGAGGGACAGGACGGGGCAGAAGAATATTGTGATGTTCCAAAGTGTAATGATCAAGGTAACTTACATTTGTTTCAAAGAGACATGAAGTTATCATAAGGAAGTGAGCTTCTTCAATTTATAATTATATATTTAATTCGAATGTAGAGCTACGAATGCAGTAATTCAAATCATGAACATTGCATCGAACCTCTCATATTTACTCTTCTTCATGAAGGTGAATTGTCCATAACCCAGAGCGGAGTGTCCACCAAGTTACACGATGTGGCTACGAGAAGAACACCCATGTCTCATCGATAGAATCCGTGTCCTCTTCTATTGGTTTTGCAGATAACGACAGCGCGCGAAAAGTGTGCGATAAGCTCGGTAAATTATAACTGTTGACATGCCAAACTTTATGTGCTCCTTTTATTTAACAAGCGATTTGTGTCCACTTGAACACCAATATCAAGTATACCACGACAAATGGTTAACTGTGAAATGGTTTTTCCTTCTCAAATATCAGCTGTTAGTATTACTAGAAATATAATTTATTATGGGCCCATGCTTGTACAGGAGTTGCATCTGCACTCGATATCTGTGTTTTGGTGACCCAATAAGTCATTTGATTAATTACATTTTAAGTATTTTGCATAGTAAACTAGCCTGCAAATTGCAAAACCATGTATTTTCTCTCAAGGTATATTTCGTAGATTATTCCATTGAGTACTTTGTATGTAATTGATTGATTTAAAAGACTTCAATAAAAATCCCGCTTTTGTTTCAGGCGGAGAGTGTAAAGGAGTGTGGGGGAAAGGAAACAGTTGGAGAGTCACGGGACTATCACCCACAGAACAAGGAACTGGATCTTACGAGTATTACAGAAAAGATCCTCACTGTCCCAATCCTTACCGTAAGTACTGGATCATGTTACCACGATATAATAGTTCATTGATTCTACCACTTATCATAGCATTTAAGAGTTTATTTTTCACATTTGTTTTGTGATCGAGCGGTTACAATAAAAAGGATTAAATTGTAATGTTTTATTAACCAGGGTACCGATATTTCAGATCAGTACTACTTCCAACAAGAATGAGGCTGGTATAAGTGGAATTTTAAAAGTTGAACGAGGACGTTTGATAATTTTCGAAGGCTCATATAGAGAAACAGAATCATATCATGATAAAATTATATCTTGTAATTCTTACTCAATATTATCTAATGGATACGAACAATTTGATTTTTTGGTAAAGTTGACGGTAAAGTTAAAATCAGTATAATCCTCGAAACTAACCTCGATTATTTGTGACTTTCTAAGCTTATTTATTTATTTACCCAAAAGATAAGCTGCTTGTCCAGGAGAATTGACCGCATCGGTAGTTTGATGACCACTGTAACGGCTTTACCATTTATTACGAGTAGATATAGAATTATCATCGTGCAATTATCAAATAAATCTGATAACTTTTATTTGGTTTTAACCAGTGACATTGATTTTTACGACTGAAAGGAACTTTATAATTAAGTTCTACTTATTTTGAAATATAGTAGCAATGCTTGTATTGCTTGTATTGCTTGTATTGCTTGTATTGCTTATTGAGCCGATTAGAGCTATCAAAGAAGTTCTTTGTTTAATGATGTGGTAATAATTGAAGCTAAAATTCAAAATTGCTATGTTTTATTTCGTACACCTTTAAACGTATTATTAACACACCACTATAAGAAGCACCAAATTTTCGGCTTTTAGTTTGACATTGTGCGTCTGGCAAAACAGCTGGTTCACAAATATTGACCGTTTTGTTATACAGAATATACAGAATTATGTCCGCTCATGCAATGTCCGTTCAACTTCAAATTATGTCCGAGGTATATAACAATAACTTTTTAAAAGAAAAGTCTTACCACACGCACACAAGCACGCACACAAGCACGCACGCACACGCGCGCGCACACACACACACACACACACACACACACACACACACACACACACACACACACACACACACACACACACACACACACACACACACACACACACACACACACACACACACACACACACACACACACACACACACACACACACACACACACACACACACACACACACACACACACACACACACACACACACACACACACACACACACACACACACACACACACACACACACACACACACACACACACACACACACACACACACACACACACACACCCACACACACACACACACACACACACACATTCCATTAACAAACACCTGCTCACCTGTGTTGACCTGCTCGAGAACAGGTCGAACCATTCGTTTCTTGTCCTTGTGTTAATACTTAATAAGTTAATACACACTATCTTAACTGCGAACATTTTCAGTGCGTATTTTTTGTCAGAATCCGAACTCGGACGAAAATTTTCGTGACGAAACACTTTCGCCGTAGAAAATATTCGCGACGAAAATATTGATTTTTAATTTATTCATTCAGTCCGTGAAGGATATGTTTGTTCTTGTTTATCCTATAATGTATCATTTGCACTAACTTCTTGCATACTGATCGAAATGCTGTACTAACAACGTAGAAATGAGCGAAAATACTATAAAGATCAAATTAAATCGTAAAAACATGTCATTGAAACTAAAGGTTTGAAGAGCCTCAATTTTTTCAAAGCCCAAATACGATCAACTGATGCCACAACCACAGCTTTCAGGTAATAGAGCTGTTGGTACTTGGCAGCCAGTAGCTCTTTGTGTACTGTAACACGTGATGCCCATATAAGGAGTGTAGCTCTTTGTGTACTGTAACTTATCGAATTTTGGGCGAAAGCTTTTAAATTTTGTGCGTATGCCCAAATATTGGCATATGGTTTAAAGCTCATAACTCAGCCACTTTTTACCAAACTGGATGTTAATTCATGTACTAGTCCAAAAACAGGCTTATCTTGCAAATCTAAACGAAGAATATAGCTCGACTAATTTTGGGTATATTAAAGTATTTTTTTATTTTATTTGAAAATTCAATTAATTATTATATATATAAATCAAGCGTTACATTTCAGCCATGCAAAATTAAAATGACATATTTTGATAAACTAATTGATAAATGGTTCTGCAATATAAGTTGCTTAATGTTTGGCCCGATGACAACTAACTAAAAGAGAAAAATAAACTTGATTACACAATAATTAATTCGGCTGAACCAACACATAGCAAGAGCCACATTAACGTTGGGGCCGTCAAAATATATATATTAAAGTATATTGGAATGTAGGTTTTTTTTCCCGATTTAGGGGCGGGGATATACTTTAATTTGGTCAGCCCCCCCCCCCCCCCCCCCAGTCTTATTGTACGATTTACATCAAATACAAGCAAAATAATACGCAAAAGTCAGGAACCAGAATATCAATAATCGAAATTACGAATAAAAATTATATAGAGTTTGATTCGTGCTGTACGATCGCAGCGCTCTGTGGATATATAGCCATTACATTTCTATTAGTTTTTAAAATTGGTGATATACAGGTTTCTTTAAAAAATGAAAATAGCTGTCAGGAAATCAATCGTGCAAATAAGAATTGTGATGCAAATATGCTTCTCCCCCGTTGGGACTGCTTGAGCAAACAATAAGCCAACATATCATTATTTGAACACTGACAAAGATTCTAACTTTTCAAAATCTCAAAAGAGTTAAAATAATACATATACGTATTTATATTTATTTTCATTACTCCATTAGTTTGGTAGGTACGATCTCGAGTTCACATCTCAGTAAGCGGAAACAAAAGGAACACTCGTTACACGGTTCTCAACGCCTAGTAAATTGGAGCGTATTCTGCATTCGCTGTTAGAGCCCAAAAATTTGCCACCCAAAGTGTGCTATAATATGATGATTTAGGTACATTGGTTTTCCTCCATAACAATGAAGTGTAGAGCCGAGGTAACCAGCACCAATCTGTCACGTGACCAAGCATTCAGCACCAAGCTGTCACGTGACGGATTCTGCTCCTCAAACTTGCAGTTGAGTATCTCAGCTGCAGCCAGCAGTGCTCACAGCATATTCACGTCCTTATTTCCGTTTTTACACTGTTCGATATTTGCTGATCACTAAACCATATTGCTTATTTGCTGAGCTGTGTCGTTTATTGCTGAGTGATGGGATGGAATACGCTATTGATTGGCTGCATTGCTCATCTTGCTCTTCTTCAAACAGGTTTTTACTTTATATGTTATCAAAAACAGGATGAAAGTTTTAGAATAAACTGTTATTATATTAGCACAAATTAAAATTGTTGTGATAAAAAATTCACTATTATTATACTTTGGGATGAAATGTCGCATTTTGAGGATGAAATGTCGCATTTTGAGGATGAAATGTCGTGGTGATGGCAAAGTTTAAGTAAGTTCGTGCTGTTTTAAAAGTGCATAGAGACGACTGTTTATTTGTTGTCTATTGAGGTTGACCTGTAAGAACTAAGATCAACAGCTGATTTTCAGGTTTAAATACACATGATAATACTATTAGAAAATTCTTAGAAAAGATTGTGATCTTTTACGAACCAATTTATAGGCCAAAATTACAATTTCTTGTGAAATAACATGTCTACTGTCTAATAATCTCTAACAATGGCTTAGTGATGGCATAATACCGCAGTAATAACCATGCAATAATATCGCATAATACCGCAGTAATAACCATGCAATAATATGCAATAATATGCAATAATATTAGACTTAATGACAACTTTTTCAGGAGATGCAGAGTGCACTCTTGATCGGAAAGTAATTGTTTTAGAAGGTAACAACAACCTGAAATACGGAATGGAATGCAGAGAAGCGGGCGAATTCTTGACTACTTTAAACTTCAGGGTTGAGTCAGCGGCCTTAGCAATCACAATGGAGGAATCCTCATTATGCTTCGTACGCGGTAATTATTCCAACCAAAATGATGAATCTTCCAAAACATACAAAATGCATACAGCATAATATCAATATTAAAATCGTTATCTGCGGATTTTCAAAAGTTGTTTATCACTTAGTTTTTTAATCTCAGAGCGATCCGCCAGATAAAATTTGCATTCTTCATATTTTCCATATTTTACTCACTCTAAAAATCACCAATTGCTAAATACATATATACTTACTCTAAGAAAGGTGATAAACATTTTTCAGGGGATGACTATATTTGAAGTAATTTATAATAACTTTAATGTCCACGATTTAAAAATAAAGATTTTTGAAAAAAAGCTCAATATTATTTAACTATTCAATTTTAAGGATGCTGTAGAAGTTTTCTGTACTCACAACTCAGACGTAAGATTTCCTGCTCTAATACAATAGATTACGAAGCTGAGGTCCCCATTAAGATTGGTGATTCTGTGGGTAAATGTACATGCAGAGCCTCTGAAAGTGGGATAGTGGACACAACAGGTTATTAACTGAAGAGAAAATATTATAAATATACTAATTATAGTATTAGATTCGTGTTTGCTAAATATACGTACATAGTGTCGAGGAATCAATTGGTAAATTACGGAAATCTACCGCACGGTAAACCATAGACCTTTAAATGGTCAGACGATAAGACCCCGTCAGTCATAAATATACTAAAGAATCCGATCAATCGTGTGATTGATTAACTAATTAATTAATTAATTAATCAATTAATTGTGTGATTAATTAGGTAATTAATTAGTTACCTAATTAATGGTGTGACCTTCAGCACGATGTGACAGATTTATAAGAGACGGATCAGGATGGAACTTGGTTGCGGCGTACAAGAACGGGACCCTCTGCGGACCTTGCCCAGGAGGCAGCCATCTTGTTGATAATATTTGCCAGCCCTGTGACAAAGGAAGCTACTCTGATGGGGCGGAATGTAAACCCTGCCCAAGAGGAAGATACACAGAAGGAAAAGGAGCAAGTGAGTGTCTCTACTGTCCAGCAGGTCACACTACATATACCCACACTCCCAACACGTGTGTTGGTCCTCAACTTTACCATTATTCGGATAGTAAAAGAGAAAAGAAAGTCTTCACTGCTCTGGTCAGCTACGAAACCCTGGGTTAGTTTTAAAATTAATATTTTGTATCTTCAGTACCTGATTTTTATTGCGTGGATGGTATAATGTAGCTTGAAGGTGGAATCTTAATATCCCTATGAATACTACATTATGGAATGCAAATTGCATAATATGCATACAATGCCCATAGTAAAATTTAACACAGGGAGTGAAGAGGCAAAAGCAGGCTATTGGGGCAGCATAGGAAATTGGAAGTTGTCCAAAAGTAACGGAAAGTTTTTCGCAAAGATCCTGGAAAAATACACAACTTCGTTCTCTAAGGGACCAAGAGCTCTCTTTAAGAGAGGTGTTAAAGGATTTGAGCCGATAAGTAAGCAAATCAGTGAATTTATTTTAACTCTAAAAATACGATAATTAGAGATATAAGAATACTGCTGAGTTTCGAGGCAGTTGGAATGAAGATGTTTTAAATGATAGCAACCAAACATTTATTATCCCTCGAGAAAAACTAAATTGGACGATAAAATGTGGAATATCTAAATAATAACTGGACTAAATTTCAGTTGAGGACGTTTATTGCTACACCGGAGATGGCTCAAAATACAAAGGGAATGCAGCTAAAACAAAGTCGGGGAGCACGTGCACAGGTTGGTTAACAGTTAACACCCACCCCAAACTCCTAGGGTTAATCCTTTGAGGAATGCAGTCGATCATAAATATGATACCAAGAATATCTTCTATTGAAATAATGTTTTGCAGAAAAACTTAACTTATTAGCCGTTTATACGCATTTACAGGACCGCACCAACACTGCGACAGGATCTGTCGCTGTAGAAACTTCAGAGGAACCCATGGCCACAAAAAGCCCTACTGTGAAAGGGCTGATGGTGCTCAAGAAGATTGTGATATTCCCAAATGCAATGATCCGGGTAATCTTAATATTAATTTGTGAACTTGTGAGCCACTTTAAAATCTGTTGGCGCTTTTATTTCTTTCATCTTAATGAGCAATTTGCGATGTGAGCACTGATAGCTGAGAATGATGATGAGTACATGCTTTAAGCCTAAAGTTAAAATACGATGAGATTGGAATCATGACCAATATAAGTTCCAAAATCCACAAGTTGCTTTCTCGTTAATCTAACGTACATTTTTTCTTTTGTTCCAGATCCTTTGTTGGCATGCATGTACGATCGAAACGATACCTCAGAAACTCTCATTGATTCGGATAACCCTATAGAGTTCGGGGATATCGCGAGCGCTCAAATAATCTGCGATAAACTTGGTAAGATTCAAATTTCAACCGCTGTTTTATTTACAGAATTGATTTTATTTCTATAGGACTCCTAGATCGAACATCAAGTTCAATGAACCAAATATTTTACTCAATATTTTACCTCAGCATTGAAGATTTCTAATGATGTTTCATTAACAGTCGAGTATTTATGATCAATAGGTGGAGGGTGTAAAGGAGTGTGGGGGAAAGGAAGCAGTTGGAGAGTCACGGGACTATCACCCACAGAACAGGGAAACGGATCGTACGAGTACTACAGAAAAGATTCTCACTGTCCCAATCCTTACCGTAAGTACATATTGGATCATGTTACCACGATCTATGATTCTTATCGGCAGTTTTATAAAGTCACAGCCTCAAGACCCGGTTCATACAGTGTTTCATAGCGGAAGTAGCTTGTGAGAATACTCGCACTCTTACTTTGAGCTGATGTCTGGAGGAAGAACAATTTACTCGGTACACGCATTTAACTTCCATATTTCAATCCGCACCTTAATATATAAATACATAGGTTTTGGTACACCGGGGTGCTTCAAGCTCTGGTGCTCAGGGTGGCGCCATCTTAGGGGGGCGCCAAATCGTCGTTTGAATGTGGGACAATTTTGAAAAACTTAACTGAGGTACTAGCAAAACTGCGCGTTTTACTCTAGAAACTCACTTTTTTAGAGATTTTACCGGTGTATCCTCTAATATCACCTTATTTGTTCAATTTTAGGGAGGGTAACGTTACACCACTGCTCAGGACGCGACCATAATAATTGTAGCCCTCATGGCTCAACCTGATGTGATGGTTACGTTTCACGAGCCGCGCTTCTGCAATTCATATTATTGTAGATATTACATCTACCTTACTCGGGAATATTATGACTGGAATAAAGTGGTGGGTTTTGGGAAATTCCGCCATATTTTTCCCGGTCATTAATTTTCCCAGTCATAAATTAACCCGCTATAATGTTCCCGAGTAAGGTAAACTAATAGTAATACATTTTGATGCTTGGTGGGTTTTGGAAAATTCCGCCATATTTTTCCCGGTCATTAATTTTCCCAGTCATAAATTAACCCGCTATAATATTCCCGAGTAAGGTAGATCGCAATTCAGAGAATTAATTAAATCGAATCAATAAGTAGGGACTTTTGAGTAAACTATTAAATATGCTACAATATTTCAGATGAGCACTACTTCAAACAGATACATGAACTGGATATCTAAACTTGTTGAAGGAGGACAACTGATATTTCATAGTGTTTCAGCACTGAACTAGCGTATCACACCTATCAATAATTATATATAACTATCATTAGTATCATGAGTATCATTAGTATCATGAATAACTACTAATGTTATGTACCTAGACTATTGGCAGTAATCAGCAGTAATCAGAAGTTATTATGATTTGGCATAGATTATACCAATTTTTATAATGAAGTGTTTGTTTTCGTATCGATTAAATTACTGAATAGATTTAAAGTTTTATTTTTATGTCTTTGACAGAAAACATTTTAATAATACAAATGACGATTGCTGGTCATCTACAGTTTTCCATTTGATATAAAACATTATTTCTGGAGTTTGAAAGAAAGTAAAATTTACTTACAAAATACCATTAGACTGATACAGATAACAATCTGGTACTTGTGAAGGAGAGTTAAAAATATTTCTTTAATTACACACAGTCATATCAGAGTTCAGATGAATATTGAGTAGTAACTGATGTTGTATAATATAAATATAATGACGATGAATTTATTTTGAATTTTTTGAAAAGCGTTCAATTGCTGAAAACGTAATATTATAATCGTTTTCTTTAGGGAATATCTTTGTCGCCACTTCATGTTCAGTTCACGCAGTTGAGAAATGTGAACCAGACTTATAGAATCGAAGCCAAATTGAGTAGATTAAGCGGATATAATTATAAGCTGTGTTCATAACAAAACGTTATCATCTGCTGAATAATATTTCAGATATGAAACTGATCTTTGACTCTAAGGTAATTTATTTCGTTGGACGAAGTATCACTATCAGGAGCAGTGTCTGAGGGCACAGCCCCAACTCCCAAGGAGCGAAAGATTTGATAATGATGTGTCCGTCAGCAGAATAATTTTGTACATTACCAATCACTAACTGATGTTGCTTCGTTTGACAAAGAATCAGGAGGCCAATGAGCAGGAGTCGGCGGAGCAAAGCCCAGGAGCCACATGTTTTCGTAGAAACTTTTCTATCAGTGGTGCAAGACATACTTTGGCACCACTGACTAAATTTTTAGTTGGGTCATTGGCTGACCATGATGATTGATAGACATTGGTAATAAGAGCTCGATCATTATAAGGGGGTTCAAAATCATAACACAACTTGCTGAGCTCTAGAAACTGCCCCAAATGGGATCAGATCACTAAAGTTGAATATTAAATAATAAGGAAAACAAATTGTCAACAAGTAGGAGAAAAGTAGGGGGACTGTTAAAGATTAGAAAGTAGGAGGGTTTGGACAGCCTGCATTAAATATGCAGAAAACCGAACGACATTATGGAGAAAAGTGTAGGACATGTTAATGAGAAATAAACTGATAGCTAGAAACGGAGAAATTTAGGGCGACAAGATGATGTCGGATCTTTGTATAATGGGAATTGGGAGGTGCGAAGTAGCAGCTGGTATGTCTGGGGAGCTGAAAAAACCTTCCAGATCGTTTGTAAGTAATGACCTAAAAGCACGCAGTACTGGACAGTATATCTGTATATAAATCGGGCAGATTGACCTGCACGAGTTATTAGTTTTTCCTATCGTAGGATGGTTATTGTCGGAAGATTTTGGGGCCGGAACCTGTAACTATAGTAGTTGGGTTCTGGTAGGCCTAGATCAGGGTAGAATGTAGATAGATGGCTGATGTTAAGGTAAGACGAGTTTGTAGTAAATGTGTAGATTTATTGTTAAACGATCCTTTTATGGGTTAGTTTGTCACGTGATCAAAACCGAGCAAGTTATCTCCGATAAGTGGGCTACTTATCACAGTAAGTGTGAGAAACACCACAGTAGCACATATTACATGAAGGCCGTCCTAAGCTCTGTATTTGAGCTCTGGTCAGTGAACATGGTATAACTGACCAATAGAGAGGCGGGAGATACGAGAGAGCTGTGTACCATTAGGATCATCTTATCGCATTAAACTACCATTACTTGAGGTAATACTGTAGAAACTGTTAGATAGTAGATACTGTTAGATACTATTAGATACTGTTAGAAACTGTTAAATAGTAGATACTGTTAAGATACATTAGATCTAACATAAGGAGAGTCGGCAGAGAGAAATTCTAGGATAAGTTTGTAGGATCTAAGAGCGGGGTAGTATTTTTAAGTGTCTTGAGTGGAGAGTATTTAGCAGACGTTTTATTCAAGTATTGCCGGGTTACTTTGTGTATCGTATTTCATATCTATTTTTATAATTTGAGATTAAGTGTATTTGTTGGTCAGTGCCCAATAGCTGCAGACTTCTGTATTAATCCAAAGTAATTGGGTTAGGTAAGCTTCGCTTGAAGTTTTATTCCTAGAATTGGAACTGTATTATTTTTATAGTCAATAGTCATGCAATCATTGCCGATAATAAATCTTTTGATGAAATCTCAGAACTACAAGCTCCCAATCATGGATATGATTCTCCCTTCCTCGAGTTTCGGGAAGATTATCAACAAATTTACAGCCAATCAGGCCTTTTCGGGCCCGTAATTTCTGGGCTGAAACTTATCTCACGTCGCGATTTTATTGGCCCTGCTACGGGGAGATGAGCAAAAAAATCCATTTTCACTTATCATCTAACAATATTACTAACAAGGTGTAACTGTAAGCTATGCTTTTGAATTACTTGAATGACGTTTAGGAAGAAAGCTGAGATGATCAGATGGATGACGAACCTCTCACACGAGCAACTCAGATCTTTGAACCTGTTCGTTATTGTGTTTCTCTTCACCGGATTCTTTATATCAACTTTACTTAACCCAGTGATCCTTCTTTATTACAGGTTACCAAATTCTGTCCCATTTATCTGTCACAAACGAGATGCCAAATTGAACTGCGATTGTTTTTCAATATATCTCTGATTCGGTTATGTGAATGTAATCATCTTGGTTAATAAATCATAGTTCTAAAACCAAACACTCTGTTTATTATTTGAATCAGCTTAATCTACCTTAGTACCTTTGGGAGTGACTGCATTGATCTCTGATCCGTTGATTAGTCAACTAATAAACAAATAATTGATAATCAGGAAGAAAAAGTCAGAGAAGCTAAGTAGGAAGCTGTTCATGCTGGTGTCTGTCTCTGACTTCTGTACAAACAGTTACCCTGTACTTCACATCCTGTACTTCTGTATTTCGCCTGATGTCAATTTGGCGGTCAATGCAAACAAAGACCAGAAGATTGATGACATGTATAGGTAAAGTGTGAGCGTCCGGAGTTATTTAAAGGGATTTATTTGGGAATATGCGTTCATTTTTATAAGTGGTTATCTTCTTGGATGAATCTATTACTAGTTCACTGCATTAGAATTAGAGATCGTAGATTTGATTCACTTTAATAATACAGCCGCAAGGTTAATTTCGGAACGTTTGCAGTATAGAGTTCACTGTGTCATATTAATAAGTATAGAGCTTCAGAGGTTAGAATCTGAATATGTTACTTTTTCGGCCCAAACCCGCTATTAAATTCAATTTTCCTTATTCTCAGGTTCTTCGCAGTCCCTTACATAATAGTGTGCAAATTTGGCTGCCTCTCTCAAGTGACGACCTCTGCCCTGGCCATCGTCCGTATGATCTCAATATTCTGTCCATTCCTCCACATCCCTCAGAGGGTGTTTCTCTCGTACATCGCTCTCTACTCCCTGCTTATGGCTGTCAACAACTTCGGGTTTGCTTACTGTCAATTCCTGGAACTGACCCCTTCAGTACGCTACGTGATAACTCTCACGTTGGAATATTGCTACTGGTTGAACATTGTTCAGTGTATCCTGGGAATATTAGCTTCACTTTTCACCACTGTCAAGATCTTCTCCCAAGAGAGGATCTGAGGCTGACGCGAGAAACAGAGCTGTGGATCATCCTTATCATGAATCTTCCTTACTGCCTGTCAGCCATAACTTTATTTTATCCAAAAGACTAATCTAGCAGTATGGTAGGTTTATCTGTCCTTGTCATCGTTACCGTGTTTCACGTCCATGTTGAATCCGATAGTTGTTGATTTCTTAACCATAAGATCAGAGTATTCACATGGTCGTTACTACAAGGAAATGAAGTACGCGTGGGTCCCGACCTTGAATCAACCTCCTACAGGGTGACTTCAAAAACGATAAGTAGAAAGGAGGAAAACTAGACTTGAGGTGTTAATCTCAGAGGACATTCAATAAATGGACATGAACCTGCTGTAACCAGACGAAAATAACTGCTGAGACTTGTGTAACACGATGCAGTGCTTGGCGAGGTTGAGTTCCAGCAACCTACTGCAAAACAGCCTGTTATGTCACTGAGAAATAAGCAGGTTCCACAACTATCGTACGTGTGCTACACTAAGAAGGGACATAAAATCCTTGCTGCTAAAAAACAAAAAGCACTTCTTTCTCTACTCGAGCGGGACTTTTGACTATGGGTCTAACTTTTACACGATCTACAAATCTCATTTTCTAAAAAACATAGGAAACTCCAGCGGGGGTCAACGACCCAATTTATTTTATCTACTTATAATACAGGGCAATATCCAGATAGCCCGACACGTGTTCGCGAACAGGTGTTTCCCAACAGTTGAACACGAACAGGTGTTCCCGAACAACTAATGACATGATGGTTACTATCTGGATACTGCCTAATACAGTTATAGCTTTATAGGTACTTATTAGTTTATGGTTATTGTCAGTTAACACGTTATTATACGGCTGTTTGGAAAAGGTTTATCCAAACAGCCATATTGTTTCTGTCTAGTTCTAATGTACCGTCACAATAGTGACTTTAATATATAAATGAGATAGACGTTTTCGATCAGATTGTTTGATGACATTATGGACTTTTTTTTCCGTCCAATCGGACTGAGATGGACTATTAGACTATTTAAAGTTAAATTTTTGCTCTTAATATTTGACATAACATAATACATTGTTGCAGCATAGATTATAAAATAATATTGCACTATGATAGCGGTTAGTTTGGAGACATTTCTATAGCGTTCTTGAGAGGAAGTGGTCTGAATTAGCTAAATGCACCACAGTATTTAACTCAACTCTTCGTTGATGTCTAAACGGCGTTACCTCTAATATAATTAGTCGACTAGAACTTTAGCAAGTCATACTTTAAACAGCAGTTAATCTGTTTAGCTTAGTTCAATTATCGTGGGAAGAAGGTTGCGTAGTCTCGTCGCATTGACTCCGAAGGAGTTATCGTAATGGGTAGCCACTGATCGTTGTGATTTGTTGTTTAGTGGTGGGAATTTGGCCTTTTAGGCCATGTCGAGCGTTTTCCTTCAATATTATCTTGATGTCATTTGGAGCAAGGTTGTTTGCCATCTTCCATGCATGGATCAGGATCTATTTCGCTCTCTCCGCCTCTGCCCTCTGCAGGGACAAATGGTTTTCGAGACGGCCGAAATTATTTCGATGTGTTCTTTGAAAAAGTACTCCACTCACTATAAAAACAAAAATCATCATGTATCGTCGACGTTTCGGCTTCAGGCCTTTGTCATAAACGAACATTGAAATAACTCTTTACATAGCTGCAACACACATGAATGTTTAAAATAATTCTTTACAATATAACCAT